AATTTTAAAAAATTGGCTCTCAAAAGAAATTTCAATCGTTGTACTGTTGATATTTGGCTCTGTTGACTCATGAGTTTGCCAACCACATAGATTCTATGTGAAAGAAGCACATGCCCATCAATTCACTGTTTATCCTATGCCAGAGGATTAGCTTTGCTTTATCCCAACTCCTTAATCTATCACCAGCTTTTCATGTCCTTCTCCAGGGTTACACTGTTCCTTCCCAGTGGATCTAATCCTTCCTGTTTTTTGTCCATATGCAAGCATACTTTTTTTCTCACAGCCTTTTCAACGTGTTCTTGTTTGTATGTGAAATCAATGATATCCTCTTAGTCTATCCCCTGCCATAATAATTCTCAGTCCGGACAGATGGCCAAGAGGAGGTTTTCTTAGTGTTCTGAAGGTATCAAAAATAGACTCCCCCTCCTGCCAGAGCCCCACAGAGGCGCCGAGTGTGCTAGAGTTGCCAGCAGCCTAAACAGGCCTCCAGACATGGCCAAGCAAACCCCTTCAAGCAGCCACACACAACACCCACAACATTAAAACCTTCATCCTATTGCTTTGATTTTATTTTATTTTTTTTAAAGAGGTGATGTGTTTTGCAAAGGAGTCCAAGGAGAGAGGAGACAGACAGGTTTACGTAATGGGGGGGAGGGGAGGAAGAGGGGGGCGGGGAAGATCATACCAGCGAAGACTTGAGGCAGGGCGTGCATGGGGCTCATTCCATTGAGCGTTCTCCCTGGCTGAGTTTAGTGAGTTAAACTCTTGGCAGGGAGATAGTAAGGATTATGCAGTTTCTTTTTTGGTAACTTGTGATCCTTTACAAAAAGAGGTGCCCAAGTGTTGAGAAGAAATTTTTTTTAAAATACCATTTGAATAAGGGCCCATTTTCTTTAATTTTTTAATCCTCACCCAAGGATATGCTTCTATTGATTTTTGGGGAGAGAAGAAGGGACACACAGAAAGAAAAACGTCAATGTAAGAAAGAAATATGGATAGGCTCCCTCTCACATACACCTGAACTGGGATGGAACCCAAAACATAGGTATGTGTCCTGACTGGGAATCAAACCCGCAACTCCTTGGTACATGGGATGACTCTCCAACCAACTGAGCCACCTGACCAGAGCAAATAAGGGCCATTTTTAGATTCTTTCTTTCATTCGTTTGTTCATTCAACATGTATTAATTGGCTTCATTAACACATGTTGAGCAAATGTATTTCGTATCTTGTAGAGCAGAGTTTTGAGAAGGAAGGTATAAAGTTAACTCAGACATGGCTCGTAACTCCAGAAGTACGTGGTCAATTGGGCCAGAAAGAGATTGTCTAAATGACACAACCCAAGCATAATGTGGTAAGATCACACGAGTACAGCTACCATTATGCAGATGCTACCTGATACTTTCCCCCCAATAAACACTGCCATAGACGTGGGTTCTAGCAACCATCCAGGGATGCCAGGGGTCATTCCACAGCATAACTCAGACACATACCTCTGCTGGCCCTGGACTGAGCAGTGGTCCCTGCAGGAGGAGGGAAGGAGGTGGCAGTAGTGAGTTAGGAGTAAACAGCCCTGTCTTCACAAGTCCTATCTTTATGTCTACAGAAAGGTGTGATGGCCATATTTCTCAGTGCCTCAACGCTTTGCCAAAAGCAGCTCTTATTTTCTTATCTGACTCCATTCAGGTTTATAACTTGTGAATGAAGAATCTTAAGAGATATATTAGTAACAAACGATCTTAAATCTCTGTGTAGCTTACAATCAAGTCCGTGGGTTTGGCTAATCTATGCTGTGCTAGGCTGGAATCAGGTTTGTGGTCTCACTGAGGTTTGCTGAGAAGTTAGTGGGCCAGGATACCATCAAATATGAATCTGGAAAGTCAAATTAAACAGAAAAACAGGAAAAAGCATTGAGACCACTAATCTGCATTTATCACTCTGAAGTGAACTTTGGTATAGATAACTATATGCTTACTAAATGACATATTTTCTACTTAAAAAATACTTGAAGAGACTTTGAAAAAAAAGTTATAAAGACAGGATTTGATCAAAAACGAAACAGCAGTGGAAGGAAGTTTGTTTCCTTTGAACTAGAATGGAAAGCCCACCGATGAGTAAAACTGGGGCAGTCAGCCCCGGGAGACATAACCAGAGACCTGATATATTCTGATGGGCACCTGGGGGTAAGGAGGAGATGGACATTTAGTCCAGCCCAAGGACAGGGAAGGCTCTGGAAAGGCTGGGGCTCCCTAGCGGAGATGGCTCCTGATCTAGGTCTTGAAGGATGAGTCAGAGTTTGCCAGGGAAAGAAATGTTCTTAGAATTGATAAGGAAACCTGAGCTTCGTGGCAAAAAAGGGAACTACTGTTTTATTTATGTCTTACTATCTGAGAAAAGGGACACGCCTTTCTAAGTGCTAAAAATGAAACTCTAGAATAATGATTCTCAAGTATTTTTTTGTGTAAAAAAATTCCCCCAAACATCTTGGGACCTCAGTTCTAGAGATTCTAAGTCAATAGTTTTAGGGTGGGGTCCAGGATTTTGAATTTTAACAAGCTCCCCAAATAATTTTGATGGAGGTAGCCCTCTCCAGCCCACTTAAGAATATACTGCTGTAAAAGGAATTTTTAAATATATATTTTTATTGATTTCAGAGAGAAAGAGAGAGGGAGAAAGAGATAGAAACATCAATGATGAGAGAGAATCATGGATTGGCTGCCTCCTTCCAGTCACACACTGGGGATTAAGTCTGCAAACTGGACATGTGCCCTGCCTGGGAATAAAACAGTAATCTCCTGGTTCATAGGTCAACACTCAACCACTAAGCCCTGCTAAAAATGTTTTAGTTCAGTTATTCATTCAGCACTGTCCTAAATGTAGGGATAGACTAGAGAACAAGACAGAGAAACCCCTTGCACTCGAAGACACTCTGGTCAGTTAGGGGAGAATTGAAGGCTCTGCCCCTGCCCCTCAGGTGGCCCCCAAAAGGGCCTCCAAACCAGAGCGCTGCACCTTGTTCCACAGGATTTCAGCTCCTACCCACAATCCTTCTCAGTTTCACTCTCGGTTACCAGGCCATGTGCTCCTGGGACCCTGTCATGGAGGCGGTCCAGGCTGATGACTAGGGTGGGAACCCCCAGGAGCCTCCAAACCCTGTAGCAGCTGCCCCGAGTGACTAGCTGACGAGTGAGTATGTGACCAGGGTTGGCAGTCAGAATAGAAGGACAGAGGCCACTGAGGGTTCTGACAAGTGCAGAGGGGCAGGTTTGGGGGGAATGTGGGTGTATAGGCTCCCAGCTTCAAAGGTGCTGTGCTCCGGGCTGAACTGTGTCCTCTCCGCCCCTAAAAGAATCAGTTGTTGACATCTCTAATCCCCAGTGTGATAGTATTCGGAGCTGGGGCCCTTGGGAAATAATTGGATTAGATGGGTCATCAGGGCCAGGCCCTCATGCTAGGCACCAGAGAGCTTGAGCTCCCTCTCTCTGCCAGTGGAGGATGGCTGGACGTCAGAGACTGGGGAGCCAGCATGGCCAGGCAGGAAGAGGCTCTCACTGAAACCTGACCATGCTGGCTCCCCAGTCTCTGACGTCCAGCCTTCCGGATCCATGACTAGGACACAGGAGAATTGCTATCAGCCTCTCTCCTAGCTGCAGCTGTTCTGCTCCCTCTGGAGTTCCGTTCAATCCTTCTGTCCCAGCCACGCCCATGTATCTCTCTGGCAATTCCTTCAGAGCCCCCTGTGCCCTCCTCCCTGGCTTCAGAGAGAGGGACAGGCACACCCATCACTCTTACCAGAGCTGAGTCCTGGCCACCTTGTGACGCAAACACTGCAGAGCCATCAGCTGCCACGGGTCAGCGTTCAGACAGAACAAGAAGCCTGGAAAAGCGTATGCTAGTGTGTTAGTGTATGTTTGTGTGGGTGTGAGATGTGTGTATATCTGAGTGAGTGTGCATGTGGGTAGGTGTTCAGAGACTGAGTACAGTTGGACAATGGCCAGACCCACCATCTGCAACACACAACCCAGGAAACCAGCCTGCTGTAAGTCAACGTGCAAAAAGTCAGACCCTATCCTAGTAACCACAATCCCTGTAACAATTGGCGCCATTTTCCCCCTCCCACTTGCAATTCAGGAGGAGAAATATATGCCTCCGAATCAATAACTCCCTTCTAGTTTCCCATGCCAACAGGGCACACCGGAAGCCTCACCTTTTCCCACGGTGAAGTGCTCTGCTCCTCTGCCTGCCTGGCAGTCTCATCCTAAGCGCGAGGAATGGTGGTAGAATAAACAGCCTTTGCTTCTTCTCATTTGGTTGGTCTCCATGGATTTCGACAGTGTGCGTGTGTGTGAGAAGGAGTGCTGTGTACATGTGTGAGTGTGTCTGAGTGTGTGTGTGTGTGTGTGTGTGTGTGTGTGTGTGTGCCTGTCTGTGTCTATTTTTTTGGGGGGGGGGGGTATGGCAATGTTGGGGGTAAGAGGGAATGTAGGGTAGCCTGCACTGACTACAAATCTTATCAGTTCTGGGTTTGTTCCCTTAGTGTCTGTCCTTCTGTTTTGGAGCTGATGAGAAGAAGGGGAAATAAGGAGACAGGAGGAAGGGAGGAGAGATTGGATGAGAGTCTCTTCTGTAACACAGATTGTAAAAGCCAGTTTTGTTGGGGTAAAATAATAAAGAGTCCCCAGAACCAGCATGCGCTTTCTGTTCCTGCCCTCCTGTGTGTGAGGCAGTCTCAGGCATCATTAACCTGCTGTGTGCCCGCTGTCCCCTGCAGAGGCACCCTGTGCCTCCCCGTGGGGTCTGGGGCCCTGACTTCCTGCCATGAGTGTATCAGGATTTAACCTGAGGCTGGGCAGCCACTTGCCAAAATGGAAGGTTGGTCAAATTAGAACAAACAGGGGTAGTAAATAGCCCATTACCTACCACATAGCCTCCCTGTGATTTTAGCTGCAGTAAAGAGATCACCAGGTGCTGCCATTTTCTGATCAATGATGGTAATTCTCTTCCCCCTAAGATCAGTTTAATCACAGCAAGGGCCTCAGAGAGCACAGAGGTCAAAAGAAAATTATATAGTTGTGCAGGATATCTCCGTGACCTCAGTTTATTCTGCACATGATTCTAACTGATGGAGGGCTGTGCTTGCTCAGAAGTAACGCACGGTGCACTGGTAGCAGCTCTGAGGAACTGTCTGACCAGGTCGCAGGCCTCTGCAGGGGGCTACAGAATAAGACCATTAGTTGTCCAGCCACAGATACCTGCCTCTGCAAAGCCTCTTGCCAGCTGTAGTTTTAAAACCAAAGAAACCAAGGCTAACACCTCGTCCTTGCCAAACACGTGCCTTGAGCCTGGGGTCCAACAATGTTTTAACGGGGGATGTGTGGTGAAATGAAGAGAGCTTTGAGCCCTGGGCCTCTTCTGTTGTGTGCGTGTGTGGCAGCTGGAGAAATGCATGTGAGTGGAGGAATAACTACCAACCAAACTCAGCGCTGGAGGGTCTCAGAGCCAGTGGCCTATTCACTCGAGCAGCAAGCGTTTGATGAATAGTTCTTTCCCTGTCGCCTTTCAATCAATCATCCAGTTTTGATGGTGTCTATTTTCTTCCACCATTTGTTCTCTGTTGTCACCTAAAGGGCAAAGGCATATTAAATCAGGAGTTGACTTAATTGCCAGTTTAAAACAATAAAAATCCATACTGTAAACCCATTAGCAAACTGCTCATTACACGAATCACCAACCTACTTCTTGTGCATGTGAACTGAGACAAACAGAGACTAATGACATTAAAAAGCAGCAATGCACTGAGCCAAAAACTAATGGCTATGTCTGGGGCAGAGACATTCCAGTCACCTCGAGTGTTTACACCAACCAGATCACTGGAGATGAAACCTGCTGGGAAGTGCTGACTCATGGTAACCTGCAGGAAAGGGTTACAGATAGGTATCTGATGCCCCTCTCTGTCTGCCCAGGCTCTCTTAGCACCATAACAACCATGATTATGAAACTACATTCTCTAGTGCTTAAGTCCTAACCCCAACCTAATGGAAGGACTTCAGTTAGAACACAAAAACCTAACACACTAATCTCCCTGAACACTGGCCTAAACAGACACCTCCTTCCTGCATTGTTTTAATTGGGTAGAATTTCCATCCCATTCTAATCCAACTCAGTCCTATTTTGCTTGTTGTTAATAACCTCAGAGGAATTTATTGTCATGCAAAGAGGAAGAAAGGTAAAATGTAACCCTTCCATCCCTCCCCTCCATTCCAATAGACTCTGCTTTGGAAATATACCCTTTAAAAGATCATTTCTCTCTTACCATATGGTCCGGCAATCAGGCCCCTTGGTATTTTTCGAAAGGAGTTTGAAAACTTACACACACACAAATATCTGCACAGGGATGTTTATAGCAGCTTATTTTTACACAAAATTCATGCACTGGGGAGGGAGGTATCCTTTAGCTCAGCCTGTTCCCTCTCCAATCTGGGACCCCTTGGGTAATGTCCGGCTGTAGGATCAGGCCTAAACCAGCAGTCAGACATCTCTCTCACAATCCAGGACTGCTGACTCCCAACCACTCACTTGCCTGCCAGCCTGATTACCCCCTAACCACTCTCCTGCCAGCCTGATTGATGCCTAACTGCTCCCCTGCTGGCTCAATTGCCCCCAACTGCCCTCCCCTGCAGGTCTGGTTGCCCCTAACTGCCCTCCCCTGCAGGCCTGGTCACCCCTAACTGTCCTCCCCTCCTGGCCTGATCAGCCACAACTACCCTCCCATTCCGGCCATCTTGTGGCAGCCATCTTTGACCACATGGGGGCAACCATCTTGTGCAAGGGCATGAGGGTCAATTTGCATATTACCTCTTTATTATATAGGATTGACAAAATTTGGAAGCAAACAAGATGTTCTTCGGTAGGTAAATGGATAAATAACTGTGGTACATGAAGAATATTATCCAAAGCTAAAAAGAAATGAGGTATCAAGCTGTAAAAAGACAAGGAGGAACCTCAAATGCATTTTGCTAAGTGAAAGAGCCAATATGAAAAGGCTACTTACTGTATGAGTCCAACATATGTCATTCTGGAAAAGGCAAAATTACAGAAACAGTAAAAAGATCTGTGGTTTTCATGATGGGGAAAATAAGACATTTGGGGAGCTAGCAATCTGAATCTGTGCCAATAACCTAATGTACATTCTCGATAGCCTATAATTAAGTCACTGCCCCTTTCTCTACAATCTGGTTTTGCAAGACCTGTTTACCTAAGAACTCCCATTTTACCGAGGCCATAAACCATGAACAATACACTGCCCCTGGAGGGGATTATCAGTGCTGGCACCAGGGCAGGCCTTTAGGTGTGGTCTCATGGCCTCCATCCCAACACACAGGGTTTTTTGCAAAGCCCTCGAAAGGTCCGGAAGTCCCACCCATATTTGGGGAACAAAGTAACCAAAGGGGATAAAAGAAGAGCTTCCACCATATTGGTTTGCTCAGGATATGAAGAGGAAGACTCTCCCCTGAGTCACTGTGCTTATACATGCAAAACATCTGAAAAACAATGTTTTTTTCCTATATCTCAGATACTTCTGCATGTTTTTTGGTCCCCTGGTAAATTCTGTAACAATCAGGGGTTGGGGGAGGGTGAGGGGTTGAGCTTGGGTGGAACACTGAGGATCTTCAGGCCAGTAAATCTACTCTGTACGATACTGCAATGAAAATACATGTCATTATTACTACACATTTGTCCAAACCCATAGAATGGACAACACCAAGAGTGAGCTTTGGGTGATGATGACATGTTCATCAGTTGTAAAAAATGCACCAGCCTATGGGGGATGGTCAAATAGGGAAGATTATGCATGTGTGAAGGCAGGGGATATATTATAGATGGAATCTCTACATCTTCTTAATTTTTTAAAATATTTTTATTGATTTTACACAGAGAGGAATTGAGAGGGACAGAGAGCTAGAAACGTCGATGAGAGAGAAACATAGACCTGCCTCTTGCACACCCCCTACTGGGGACTCATCCGCAACCAAGGTACATGCCCCTGACCGGAATTGAACCCGGGACCTTTCAGTCCGCAGGCCGATGCTCTATCCACTGAGCCAAACCGGTCCGGCTACATCTTCTTAATTTTTTTGTGAATCTAAAACTAAAGATTTAAAAAATAAATAAAGTCTTTATAAAGGAAAAATAAAAAAGGAAAAAACAAAATGAATAGAAAGTAACTCCCCAAAACCAACATAAAAAGATCATTTCTCTCCAGGGAAGCAGAGCACACCTTCCAGGCTTGGGTGTGGCATGGTCCCCTCCCTCTCCGTGAGCCCTGAGGGCGGGGCATTCCTCCAGGGCCCAGGAAAGAGGCTGGGCCTGGCTGGAGAGAAGTGGCCTGGCCATCACCTCACGGTGCTGATGCTCCTGCACTGTCCACCACGGCAGGACTAGCTACACAGAGTTATTTAGCAGGAAGCTAAGCAGGCAGTTCGCACCAGCCTCATTTCAAATCCTAGTGGCTACTGTCCTGGACAGCACCGGTCTGGAACATTTCCATCATCTCAGAAAGTCCTACTGCTGACTAACGCTGCTCTAGACTCAGCCACAGAGACTCACCTGCCGGTGGAGTAAAATCACAAATCAAAAATGCATGTGGTTCAGGACCCCCCACTCTCAGATTCTGAATGACACCTGAGCAACGGACGTGGCTGGGCGGGGGCTGGAAAGGGCTTGGGAGGCGTGCTGACTGCATCAGCGATGGAAGAGCAACCTCTCTTTTGCAATCCTTGCTTGTCTGACAGGCTCCTGCAGAGTTACATCACTTCCTAGAAAAACAGGCAAACACTTCTCCTTCAAGTTAGCACCTACCCAAACAAGCAGGAAACAGGAAATGTTCACGTTTCTAGGAGGCTGAAGCCAGCGCAGCAGCTTCGTGCAAGCAAGCCGGAGGGAGTGCCCAGGCCAGCTGACATGAAGGCTCCTCGTGCTGCCCTCCTCTGTGCCCTGATAATCGCGCTCTTCTTCACTGGCCAGGCTCAGGGTAAGCGACCTCCACTGCAGGGAGGAGGATAACGATGCCTTGTTTGGTGCCTGAGGCGAGAGAAGTCTGCGGGGCGGCTAACACCCAGAAAATGTAATCCTTTTTTTGTGAAAGAAGTGCAGGAAATTCGAACTGTCTTTTTTAAGGTAGCGGGGTGGGAGGGTGAACTTGCCTTTCCCTGAAGCTATCAGATCGCGCAGAGACCTCCCTGCAATCTTCTTGTCTTCTAAGATATGTAATTTACCAGTTTTTAATGGGCATATTAAGAAAACCATAAAGTCTTTGGCAGTTCATGGAAAAGAAGGTTTCATTCAGCTGAAACGGAGAAATAGTAATACATTTGATTTTAATAGTGTGGGGTTGAGAAGTCTGCTGGTTTCAGAAACTCCTAGAAAAGTTGTGGTATGGAGATTTACTACTGGAAAGTCTACGAAAGAAAAACATAAGTTTAGAAAAATGCAAACAGGAAATTATCCAAGGCGTTCTCAGGCATCCACTCTTAACTTTTCAAGAACGGTCTTTTCATTTGTTTTTATTTGATCATGTTACTTTGGGGGGGTAACAAAATTGAAAGTTGAAATTTTCTTTGAGTTGAGTGTTACTGATGCTTTGTTTTAAAAAGTGATATGATAATAATTGCAAATCAATGCTATTGAGAAGGGCAAAATGTTAAATCTAATTCTTTTGAGCTAAGAGCAGCTATTGGTTTATACAGCTTGACAGTTGTTACAACAAACATGGTCACCCTCAAATGCCTCTTACGGTTGTGTTGAATTGCCCTTGGGTAAATAAACTTGCTGCCAATGGTTTCTTCAGGGCATGCTACCTGCTTCTGGTGTAGGGCAGAACTTCAAGCCACAGGAGAGTTCTCAAGCTGCAGCTCTTTAAATAGGATGGGGCATTAGGTACTGGTGATCTAACCCGTGTCACAACTTCCTGGAGATTAGCAGTCAGCATCCAACCACCCCCACCCCTCCACTTTCTCTTTCCACAAGGTCCCTTCAGGCTTTTGGGGTGGGAAATGAAAGGTGAAAGGCAAACCATTCCAACAGAAAAGGTGTTTGGTTGAAATTGAGGTTAGTGTTTTAAAAAAGTTTGGGGGACATTGTTTTATGCACAAAATTTTGGAGCTGGAAGAGAGCCTAAAGGTTATGCAGCTCGAGCTGCACTGAAGTGACCAGGGGAAGAAACTGAGGCAGAGGAAGTTGAGACGTCTGAATCCCTGCTAGGCATGATTTTCTGTTGTGGACTCCAGGGTTCTCTCCTCTCACCCAGGGGACCAACCACACCCCCTGCCAAGACCACCGAACTAGACTCCCTTTTCCTCAGGGCACCCCTCAGCACTCCAAAGGAAGTGGAGCCTAGCCATCCCATTTCCACCTCTTGTAACCCTTATGACTACCACAAACACCCCTCTCCTCCCCCGAGAGCAATATTAACCTTGCCTGAGGATTTTCTTGAGCTTCTTAAAAATGAATAGAAGTATTTGCAATTGAGGAGATGCAGAAGGAAAATCTGAAGAGACTCAGTCCTTAAAACTTCTCTTTCTGAGACCCTACCTGGTCATGTGACTCTTCCACTTAAAGACCTCCAGTGGTTCCTCATTTATGTTCCTTGGACTCACACCAATCTTTCCCAATAGCACTTCCTCCCACGTGTCCTCCCACTCCCTAGCCACACCCTTCTAGTCACACTGAGCTGTAGGGTTATAACAGGTAGTGTTAGCCTGTCAGAAGTCAAAGACGAAAAGCTGCATTTAAATCACAGATGATAATCTGCATTGCAGTCAAGCACAGGGCTTATCTAGCTAATCCAACACATTTATTGGGCCCTTCCTGGATTCCCCAGGTCTGAAGATACAAAAATGCCACTTGCAAAATGCATGTATAACCAAAGGGTATTACTTTGAGATTAGTCGAGGAAAAGGCTATTCTAAATTAAAGACTGAATATATATTTTTAAATTTTAATTAATGTATATTCTTTTGATCTGATGGTGCCTAAGACTTGAGGATATGAGTTGGTGTATAGGTGTCACCCTTGTATTTTCTTGGAACTGTCTGGTGGGAGAATCCAATCTCCTGCACAGCCCAACATTCTCTTGTGAGCATATGAAGGGGTATGTCTCAAATGAGGCCGTTAGTACCCACGATCAGGCGACATTATCTAATACCTGCCGTTCCTGGAGGCCTGCCTGCCTCATTACCTCTGAGTCAGCATCTTTCTCTTTATGTAGATTGAGAGCCTGATGAAGAATTGGTTACCATTCCAAGTGAATAATCCACTTAGAAGTCACCAGGAGGCAAATGAGAAAACAGCTTTTCTGGGATTTGGACCAAACAGAAGAGCACAGTTAAAGGAAAGCTCTGGGCCCGGTATCTTGGCCAGTGTCAGATGCTATGCTAAGAAAGTTCAGCTTCCAGGGGTGACATTCTGCCCCCGGAGTGAAAGGAGACATGCCTACCTCATGCCTTACCCTGGGCCCTGTCAATGTCAACTGAACACTAATCAGCAAGCTAAAAGCAACTTCTCAGATACCGAAGGCATGGGATTTACTAGCTGCTGCAGGCAGGATGGTTTGTAGGAAGAAAGTCAAGGGCAGACAGTAGAAACAAGGTGGCTACCCCTGTTAGGGCGGCCAGAGTCAAACACCAGACTGGGAGATAGTCTGGGCTGCTTCAGAAGAGTAAGAACCATGTAATTACTGATTAATGAACCTTGAGAAGGAGATAAAGAACAGAAGAAAATACCTGTTGCATAAACAAAGTGGCACTTTCTGACACTGTCCTCGTTTCAATGAGTGTGACTGCCGCCTGCGATTTTCTGGGACAGTCCCAGTGAAGTAGTAATAATGATGATAGGGAGTATATACAGTGCTCATTACATGCCAGGCACTGTTCTAAACACTTCCCATTGACTAATTCATTTAGTTCTCATCACAGCCTTATACAACAGATACTAGTATCCTTGTTTTACATATGAGAAAACTGAGGCACAGAGAGGTTAAATGATTGGCTCAGGATCACACAGCTAAGCAGTCGATCTACATAAGATTCAGCTTCAGGAGTCTATGCTCTAACCCAGTGGTTGGCAAACTCATTAGTCAACAGAGCCAAATACCAACAGTACAACAATTGAAATTTCTTTTGAGAGCCAAATTTTTAAAACTTAAACTTCTCCTAATGGCACTTCTTCAAAATAGACTCGCCCAGGCTGTGGTATTTTTTGGAAGGGCCACACTCAAGGGGCCAAAGTGCCACATGTTGCTCGCAAGCCCCAGTTTGTCAACCACAGCTCTACCCTTATACACTACTATATTGGATCTGGGTTTTCAGGCTATGTGTCTAGTTTCAGGTTTGGAAAAATATGTCTCTGGTGCCTTCCCAACTGTAGGTAGACACACAAACTCCTGGCTGGGCTCTAAGATTACTTACCACATGTTATTAAAGAAGCTGTATGTGGTGTGGCCAGAGACTGGCTGACAGGGAAAGGAGTGGTGAGAGTTGGGTTAAACTTTGGCCTGGAAAGGGGGAAGGGAGGGGCTGAAAGGTACAGAGTGAACAAAACAGAATCTGAGGATTAGCATAGTTAACACCAGAAGCAGGTAGACCAATGCTGAAGCCACTGGATGAGAGGCTTCAGGGTGTGGGAACCAGGGAGGAAAAGCCCAGCCTTGCTGTGGGAGAGAACTGACCCCAAGGACCACACACGCGCGCACACACACACACGCAGAGAGGGATTTTCTGAGGCTTAAAGTCCCTCTGCGTCTAAAAGGATGACCCAGGAAATCAGAAGAGGACAAGATCTTGGCTGGGATGAGTTCAATTCTATAAAGAAACAATGCAGCCTGCAATTTGCTTACTCGTGTATAGTTTGTATAGCTTGCACCACCCTCAAGTGTTGGCAAAGATGTGGAGAAACAGGAACTCTGAGGGTAGATGAGTGCCCTCACCTAGTCTATCTTGCTGCTTAACACATCCATTGGGCTTTTAATTTCAGCTATCGTATTTTTTATTTCTAGAAAATCCTTCATCTACAATATATTATATATATATTGTGTCTTGGTTTTATTATCTTCTTGTGTTATTTATTTCTTCTTTTATGCATTTATTTTAAACATATTATTACTCGATAACTTTTATCTGAAGATTTTGTAGACCTACTATTGCTTGTTGTATCTGTCAACTCCTATTCATGATGGAAATCTTGGGGCCACTGAGGGCAGAACAGAGTGTGACTCACCCTATGTAGCAGAACCCCAAATTTTCTGACCCTATCACCAAGGTACTGCAAATATTTAACTAAGACAACCCCTGCCCTGGTACCACAAAACAGAATTTGAAAGAAATTCAATCAGGGATGTGCTGGGGTTGAGGAGGGCCAGTGCTTGGATCTCAGACTTAAACCTCAGCCTTGGATGGGGAGGGGCAGGCCTCTGGGGTCAACCTTCAGGAGTCACAGGAGGAGGTGCCAAAACCTTATTAAAAGTGCAAACCAGAGTTAGCAGTGGAGCCAAGTCACTAACCAGAAGCAGGTAGTCAAAGAAACCAAAGTGATTGCCAAAGAGAAAGAAGTAGACAAACACAAATTAAAAACCAGAGGAGGGGCCAGGTGCACAGAGTCAGGATGATGGATGACGGTGGATCAGCCTGGGGTGGTACACCTGACTTTGACTTTGAACTTTACTAAAATCAGTGCTGTTGCTTAGTTTTTCTCCCTCTTTCCCTTTCTCTCTCTCTTTCTCCCTCCATCCCGCCCCTCTCTCTCTTGTTTTTTAAATCTTCAAGCCTCCATCTCTGGACAGTCCTGTGACAACCTTCCTCACAGCTCTTACTGTCTCAACCAACTCCACAGTAACCTCAAGATAATAATAATAAAAAATACTGACTGACCTTTGAGCTAAGAATGATTTTTTAAAAAATAATTCTCTCTTGAGAACTTACATAATAGCCTGTATTTTGCCTCATGGCCTCAAGATCTAAAGTACTTATTCGGTGATCCTTTAAGAAAAAGTTTGCCAACCACTCTAGTCAATGTGGAAATATTTAATATAATACAGTGTTATCCGTTTCATTTTTCTCTATTCTTTTTAATAGGTATACATTCACAACTGCCCTCCCTTGCAGGCCTGGTTGCCCTCAACTGCTCTCCCCCTGCTGCAGGCCTTGGTCCCCCTCAACTGTCCTCCCCTGAAGGCCTGGTACCCTCAACTGCCCTCCCTTTCTGGGCATCTTGTGCCCACATGGGGGGAACCATCTCTGACCTCATGGGGGCAGACATCTTGTGTGTTGGAGTGACAGTCAATTTGCATATTACTATTTTATTAGATAGGATATATATATATATATATATATATATATATATATATATTACTAGTTTATATACATATATAATGCATACTTTCCTGGCCCTGCTGGTGTTGCTCAGTGGTTGAGCATCACCTGTGAACAAAGAGGTCACGGTCTGGTTCCCTATCAGGGCACATGTCTGGCTTGCAGGCTTGATCCCCAGTAGAGGGCATGTTGGAGGCAACCAATCAGTGATTCCCTCTCATCATTGATGTTTCTATCTCTCTCTCTTTTTCTCTCTGAAATCAATAAAAATATATTTTAAAAATACATATATTCCTTTAATCTTCTAGTCACTACAGGCCAGAATAGGATTGGAATGTACAAAAATGTAGTCTGATGGTGAAAAACCCAGCTTCCCCAGGCAGTTAACTTCAAACTAGAGACAACCTGAGAGTCTTGGAAAGTCTGATTAATTATGAGCAAACTTTCTCTAAAAAAGACATAAAAATAAAATAGAAACAGACACCAGAGCTTCATGGGCCCCCATTGTGGGGTATGTTTTAATCCTATATAATAAAAGCCCAGCAACCATAATGACAGAATGTTTAGAATGACCACGCAACCACTCACTATGAGGTGCATTGACCACTTCTCCGTCCCTTTTCCTCCATGGTAGGTTCCAATCGCTGATGGAAAATGGTGATCCAGGGTGGGTGGTGGGGAATCTGGTGGGAACACAGAGGGAGACTGGTGGTGAAAGTGGGGCTGATGAGTGGCAGGAAGGGCTGACCTCTTAGTCCCTTCCCCAGCCATCTGGCTCCCATCACTAGATGGCAAACAGAGAACTGGGGTGAGTGGCAGCGGAAGGGCAGGGGCCAGTTGCTGGCAGCCAGGGAAGATGGCCCTGATCACAGGCTAGGCCTAGGGACCGTACCTGCATATGATGTAGTCTGATAATAAATTGCAAATGCAGGTGTGCATTTCTTAAGACAATGAGGTCAAAATACAATTTGGCTTCACTAGTCAATTCCCAGAGCAGAAGATTGCATGAAAGCTTCTTAACCAGATGACCCTCCTCAAAATAAGCAAAATAAATATATTTTTATATTTTAACCCAGGCCCGGGTTACAGTCTCATTCCCCAGTAGGGGATATGCAGAAGGCAGCCAGTCAATGATTCTCTCTCATTATTGATGTTTCTCTCCCCCTTCCTTCCTTCCTTTCTCTCTGAAATTAATAAAAATGTTTTTTAAATGTGAACAAGAAAGTTGTAAAGATTAAATTAGGTAGTGCACATATTAAGCACTCCATAAACACCAGTGGCTGTTGTTTATTACTTTGAGGCTATTGTGGAGGGTCTTGGCAGGGAGAGCTGTGAGGAAGGTTGTCATAGGAGAGTCTGGAGATGAAAGCTTGAAGAGCAAAGAAAAGAGAAACTTGATTCTCATGTATTTAGCCACAAGAGAATCTTACTGAGTAAATGATGTTTAACAAGGAAAACGTACATATGAGAGGGATATTGTAGAGAGGAGTTCTGGCCCCTTTCACTGAAAAAGGCCACTAATGGCCACTAGTGACCAGCATTGTCTCTTATGCTGAAAAGTGTATGTACACAACCCAGAACTATCTGCTGCCCTTCTTTCCATGTCTCCTTCATTTCCTGTTGTCAGAAAGCCCTCATTTTCCCTGCTAGCTTATTTGTTTTCCCCTTTTCTTCTCTTTGGGGCCATAGGTCAAGTGGTGACTCGGGGTGCTGAGTGTTCCCCTGGGAACTTGCTGGCCTTTCTTGGAGAGGCACAGAGAAGACCCTGCATCCGGGCAGCTTTGTTCACAGCGGTCTGGGCAGAGAAGCTTAGCGAGAGCTCTGGCAGAGCCGAGGCTTCTGGGAACCCTTCCTCTCCCTTGCCCTTAAGCCAGGAAGCCACCTCCTTAGAAACTGATGGGCAAGAATATGAGGTCCCCATTGTTCACCACGTCATGATTTGTAATCAGTACATTCCAGCCAGGTTCAAACGATCACCCCTCCACGATAGCTCTGTGATCGTGGGCAAGTTGTGTAATCTCTTGGCCCCAGTTTCTATCTGAAAAAGTGGTGAAGACAAAATGAATTCATCCAGCTAAAAGGCAGAGCACAGGACTGGGCTCTTAGTAAGTGCTTTGCTTGGAATGGTAGCAGCAGCTACAGCAATAACAGAAGACAAAAAAAAAAAAAAAAAAAAAAAAAAAGAAAGAAATAAAAGGGAAATCTGGATGTTTGAAAAAGATCCATAAGGACTGATCTCAAGGAAAAGGGTCATTACCACCAACTCCACTTGTGTATGTACCCCTCCCCCATACCTCCCTTCACTGCCCCCTTCCCAGTCCCCCTACTTCCCACCCCCATCAGGTCTTCAGTGGCCTGGATTTTCAGTAAATAGTGCAGATTGCTTCTAGCAGTCCTGCAAGTGAATGAGTTTAATGAGGACACTGCCCTGGTAGACAAATATCTTTTCCTGACCCAGGATGGTATGTAATATATCAAAGCTTGAGTGAATACAGCATTGACTTACTTTATTTCAAAGACATAAAAATAGGGCAAAGTCACTTAATCCAGAAGGCAAAGGTCAATAAATGGTAGGTTTTCTTTTTAATCCTGCTTTTGGTTCATTCAGGTGAAGGAGCACCAGTTAGTTGCATTCTGCAGTTTGTCATTGCATGGATCACTCATGTGATCATCAAGTGGATTCCCTGGTCTTGGGGAAAATGGAAATATATATATCCAAAATAACTAGACAGTGATCAAACAAAGGTTTTATAAATCAAGTCAGAGGAACCCGTTGTCATATAGTCATGCATCTAGACAAGGTACTAGATTGCTTCTACTGTGGCTAGCAAGGTCCTTCTATTGGAGCACTGGTCTAGCCTGTAGCAACAGGGCATAGTTTAAAACAGCCAACTTTTCCATTTCCATAACACCTTAGAAAGAGCTTTCACAAAAATGAACTCATTTGATAAGTGTTCTGTAGCCTTAACTCATACTCTATTTTCCTCAACGGGCCCCATCTGAATGACAGATAACCTTGTAACATGGTAGTGAAAACCTTTAGCTCACCTACCCATGACCACCACATGGCCAGGTGTGAGGAAAGATCTTTCAAATAATAGTCCTTTCCAGTGCTGTGATGAACCACAGGATGGTTTTCCAACACAATCTGAAGTTTACACAGAATTAACTTGCTTGGAGTTTCTACATAGGGACGTTCTAAAGATTCATTTTACTAAATACTTTTAAATATTGGTACCATTTTTTTTTTTGTCTCTGAATTCTGCCTGAGAATGTCACTTGTATTTTTATTTAGCATCCAGGAGGATTTCTGTCAGATAATCTCGGAGGCAGACACGTTTCTCTGCAGAATGTGAGCCCTGACGCTGAAATTAAAGCAGTTACTGCAATTTCAAAAAATTCTTTTCCACTCATAGGTAGCCTTTTATTAAAAGTGTTATGTGGCAAGTACCTACCTTTCAGTACATGTGGCTCAGATTTATTCAGAAATGCTATTAAAATATGATACCCTACAGGAGATGTCTCAGGATATCACCCATGACAGGGCAAAGGTTCTTAATGCCTTTGATTAAATGTATCTAAAGTACCTGTCAAAGCTAAACTGCCTGCATTTGTGGGAGGTTTATCTGGACTCTGATTCCATGTTCAATGTACTCCCAGCTTGAGTGCCATTTATGTTACTTCAGTACTCTATAACACACTGAACTGGAAGGCCCAACTCAGGAAATCAAGTTTACCACTGGATGCATGTAGAGAAAAATTTAAAATACCATTGAAAACATAACTTACTAGCTTAGTCTCCATGGCAACCTCAATTTTGTGTGTGTGTTTCTCACAGAGAATTCTGAGGAAGAAAAAGAGTCAGGAGATGAGTCAACAGATGTCACCCACAAAGTGGAACCTACAGATGAAGATACGACTATTATAAGTACAGTTGCTGCACTGACCACAGAAGTAGACTATAGGAATAATACCTTCGGTAATGAGAAGGACACTCAGCTAGAGTTTATATTGATGGTGTTGGTCCCATTGGTTTTCTTGGCACTCCTACTCATATCAGTGGTACTCATTGTAATCAACTGTAAAAGAAAAAAAGCTAAACAAGGTAAATATTTTGTGTGTTCCCAATCCCAGACAATCGCTCCATGGGTCAATGGCCAAACACTAAAACAAAATACTTTTTGCTTCTACACAGAGCTGCCTTCTAGCCAAGGATCTCAGAGTGTTTTACAGACATGTGAGTATTATCCTAACACCTGCCTGGAGTTGGGGATAGGATAGGAGAAGGAACTGAGAGGTTTTAAGTTAAGCAAAAAGGATTATATAAAACTAGAGCCCTGGTGCATGAAATTTGTGCACTGGGGGGTGGGGGTGGGGGGGGGGGCGCGTTCCCTCAGCCTGGCCTGCCCTCTCTTGCAGTCTGGGAGTCCTTGGGGGATGTGTGACTGCTGGACCCTAAGGCGGCAGTCAGACAACCCTCTCACAGTCCAGAGCTCTCGCAGTCCAGGACTTCTCACTTTTTACCTCCCGCCTGCAGAGGAGGCAGGAGAGGCTCCTGCCACCACTGCTATGCTTGCCAGCCATGAACCCAGCTTCTGGCTGTGTGGGGCTGCCCCTGTGGGAGGGCACTGGCCACCAGGGGGCAGCTCTTGTGTTGAGTGTCTTCCCCCTGGTGGTCATTGCATATCATAGCAATTAGTCATCCCACAAGTCTTTCCACCATTCTGTTGATTTGCACATTAGAGTTTTATTATATGGGATAATAATAAGTCATGAATGACATATTTCAACGAAATTTTCCAAAATTTAAGAATGCCATATTTTGTTCTTTTTTAAAAAAGAGAATATTTTTAGCCTAAATTGAAAGTTAATATACACAGCTACCAACTCTGTACCTAATCCAGATAATGCCCTTGTATAATCTTGGCCAATAGGTCAATGTAACATGTTCCTACAGTTGGAGGAAAGGGTGAGGATGGTGAAGCAGTGGGGTCAGGGTTGGGAAGGCAGAGACCATGGCATCATTCTGCAAGAAGGAAATTCTTCCACCTAAATTTCTGCCATAGATATTGTTTTCTCCCCCATGCCACATTCCAATTTGATCTTGAAAAGGCCTGGGTGATGCATTGTTCTTATTCCCATGAAAGCTATGCTAACTTTCATAAGCAAAGTCCTACTTGGCTAAAGATTGCTATCATCAAGCTCCTAGAAAATCAGTCTCATAGAAAATTCCCCAGGTCAGAGATTCACTCTGAAAGTATTCAGTTCCTATTCCAGGAGCACCACATACTAGATTTTAGGGTATCTAGGTCCAAAGGAGACTTGGATACTTTTGGCTTGTGCTGGTAAAAAAAAAAAAAAAAAAAAAAAAAAAAATATATATATATATATATATATATATATATATATATATATATATATATGATTCCAATTAGATTTTTGTTGTTGTTGTTGTTGTTAATCCTCACCTGAGGATTTTTAAAAAAAATATATATATATATTTTATTGATTTTTTACAGAGAGGAAGAGAGAGGGACAGAGAGTTAGAAACATCGATGAGAGAGAGTCATCGATCAGTTGCCTCTTGCACACCCCCTACTGGGGATGTGCCTGCAACCAAGGTACATGCCTTTCACCGGAATCGAACCCAGGACCTTTCAGTCCGCAGGCCGACGCTCTATCCACTGAGCCAAACCGGTTTCGGCCACCTGAGGATTTTTTCCCATTGATTTTTAGAGAGAGTAGGAGGGAGGGAGAGAAAGGGTGAGAGAGAGAAACATCAATGTGTGAGAGAGAGGTCACCAGGGCCAGGGAGCAAAACCTTCACTGGTAATCAAACCTGTGACCCTCCAGTGTGTGAGCCGACACTCTAATCACTGAACCACACTGTCCAAGGCACCAATTAGATTTTAAGTTGAAGACTTTATTCACTCCAGAGATCACTCACAGGATGAGAATTTCTCTAAGATACATATTCATATGCACATACAAAACTCACTGTATGTCCCTCACACCCATTAACAGGGCATCTCTGGCTTTGAGATCATGCCCTTGGTCTTCAGGCCTTGCTCACTGTCCTAGCCCCTGGAAAGCCTTCAAGCTCTCAGCAGGAACTGTAAATGGTCTTTTCCCATTATGCCCTCATGAGCTGGGGAAGAAGCACTTATGTTTGTTACCTTTCACGATAGGGGCTGATATAATAGATTTCAAGGAAGGAGGAAATACACATGTTCCTTCCTTGCTTGAAATTTCGGGGTGACCTATTAACCGTGATCACATGGGAGCTCCTTTGGAAGCTAAAGAAAAAGAAAAAGCAAACAGAGGTGCATAGGCCTAATTTTTTTTTGTTTGTTTTTAGTAAGAAAGGTGAGAATTTCCTGCCTAAACCCTTTAGCCAGCCCCACAGCTGGTTTTGCTAGTGGGGTCATGGGGTTGGGAGGAATTTGGGGGTATCAGTCAAATGGTCATACTCTTAGGCTCTAAATCCAGAAAGGGGTTTTTCATTGAACTTTACTATGGGAATCTCAAAGTTCAGAAGCCATCATATGAGTGAGAACCAGCCTCATCTTCAGACATGGCCTATGCATCCTCCACGGCAGCCATACTTGAAGTGTTTGCTGTTCCCAGAGCAGGGCTTGTACTTTCAGGATGCCTTTATGCCTGGGTGCTGCCATTTCTTCTGTCTGGATTGCCTTCTTGTCTGATTAGCAAATTGCAGCCCCATTCTTCAATGCTCACTTCTAAAGTTTTCATGAAGCCTTGAGTAATCGCTCCTCAGGCAAAATTAATCACCACGTCTTCTGTGCTTGCATAGACTGTGGTCACAACGTGCACAGTATTTACTTTGGCATAAAATGGGAACTTGCCCTTTTCTGGTCTTTCTTACCAGGTTATGTTCTCTTTAAGGTCCAAGAGAGGCAAGAACTTGTCTTATTTATCTGTTTAACAGTGTGGGCTGGAGGTGGAGAGGGCAGACTCTGGAACCACACTGCCTAGTTGGCTTTTGCATTTCCTAGTTCTGTGACTTCTTTGTCAGCTTCCTCATCTGTAAAATGGACGAATTCAAAACCTACCTCACAGAGTTGTTGTGAGAATTAAATGGATTCATCTATGGAAAGGGCTTAGAAAAAAACAATACCTGGCATATTGTATTAGCTTGTTATTATTATCCCTTTTACATAACCTAGTGCCTGGCCCAACATAAAGATTAGCAGCTCAATAAATGTTTATTGAGTAAATAGAACAATGTTATGACTTATTTTAAAGAAGACCTATTCTCAGAGATTAAAAAACAAAATTTTCACATATCCTTGCTATAAATTGGCACATTCCGTTTAGTTTAAGTATACCCTACTTTAAGAAAACACAACATAGAGAGCTCAGCATTTTGAAGAAGTTGCTTATTACAAAATAAGTAAATAAATATATAGAGTTTGACTTGAATATTTTCTTTTAGTATCCACTCCTTTAATATAGATACTGGTGGTTAACCTGCATATCTCCTCAGACAAACTGAATGCTAAAGGGTTAATGATGACTGTCCACTGAATTCTACCCATTCGTATTTCACATCATAAGCAAGCCAAAAAAAAAGGATAATATTTAAATTTACAAAATCTGATTTAAATACATTTGTTTTCCAGGAAAAATAAAAGTTCCAGGGGACTTAAAAAGTTCCCGAAGGACTGTTATGTGGGAGGCATGAAAGATGTCCCCTCAGAGTTAGCAATAAACACACGATTGGTTTCTTTCTTCATATATTCTTCTACACCAGAAAGTAAGTCTTTAAATTTGACACTGGCAATGACTTGGCCAGTATGTTTAGGAAGAACGCATTCCTCCGTTTGGGAATTGCCTTTTTGCTTTGGGCCCTTCAGGTTCCCGTCCAGGAAAAGGGGAAATGCTGTGTAGTAACTCGATGTTCTATTGTCATTCTTCCTACACCTCCAGGCGTTGCATTTGCAGTTGTTATTATTAAATGTCTTGGTGTGCTGTGACGCTTTGAAAGAGCTGCAGGGGAAACAGCTGGCAGTAAACCATCACTTTGAACAGGCTGTGGCCACATGACACCTGGCTCTGCTCAGTAAATCTCTAGAAAGAGGCTGTCTCCCTTGCTCACTGTTCAGCATGGAAACAAGATAAGCGAGCCAGCCCGCTGCTGGGTTCCTGTTTGGTGTCTCTCCCACCTCCTTCCCCTCCTTCTCCCCCACCCCCCAATGCACAGGGGTAGCTTTGAGAGAGGGGGCATTGTCAGGCCAAGCCGGTGCAATGTAGGAACTGAAAGAGGAGGACAAAGTGGGTGGAAGGATGTGAAACCGGAGGCGATGGCAGGGAAAATGGGAGCAAGTGAGGGTGAGGGGCTGTGTAAGAGCAACCTTTGCCTCCTGGATGCAGGGGAGTGGGGGGCTATTAATAAAGGGATTTAGGCCAGGTGGAGTGGAGCGGGCAGGGCCTGATTGCTGGGGACAAATAATTGGTCTTTCTCCTGGTTTAATGCTCTGCTCTGGCGTTCTCTCCCAGATGTTTCTCTGTTGCCATGGCGGCTGGGGCAGGGGTAATGGTCCTGGAGCAGGGGAGATGAGGCTGCAGAAAGCTTTTTGCTCTGTTTGAATACTGATTATAGGAGCTTCCCATTTGGTGCCTCTGGAGCACTTTGGTAATGGAGTTTTAAACTTTTCCATCATCTGCAGCGAGGGCTAGCTTTTACTCACCACAAAGCCTGTGGGCGCTCAGATTATAGAGATAAATCCATGCCCTAGACAGTGGGGCTCCAGGGACACTTGCTCCCTGAGAATTTAGCGGGGGGCGGAGGTATTAAACAGGGAAGAGGGTGAGGGAATGACAAAACAGGGGATTTTTATGGGTCTCCTGTAGTGGCTTTAATTTATAGTAAAAGCCCTTAAGGAAACAGAATGTAAATTTTAGATGAAAAAAAATATTAGTATATATTAGTATATGTATGTATACATACATACACTCACATATATATGTACACACACATATTTATAAGATGTACATGAATATAAAATATACGATGTACATCTCCCCTTCCTCCAAAGTTTTAAGGAGTCAGGCCTCTGCAGGAATCTTCAGATTCCTATTTGGGGGCAGCAGGTGGGAATCAGGAGGACATAACCTACAGCCCCTGCAAGGTAAGCAGTGATGGCATGAAACTTACATCTGTGCCCAGCTTTCCTGGATTAGCAATGCCATTCAAGCCTGCCAACCCACAGAAAACTACAGCCGTTCCCAGCTGCGGCCAGGAGCTCAGTTCCAAGGGCCTGCTGGTTATGTCCCCTCACTGGGGACCTGCATTTCTGCAGACCAGACAAAATGAGGCCTCTGACTGCCAAGGACTGGGAACATCCAACTATTTGGTGGGCCTCTACAAAAGTGCTTTGTTTCTTTCTGGTTTTCACATCATAAAAGGGGCAGCAGGCCTGTGCTGTCCACTTGCTTGACATCATAGCCTCATTTCTCTGGGTGTGTCGATCCTCTTGCCAAACAAAACACAGCCTGCGCTGGGACACTGGGCTCTGATTCCTGCCACATGTTCATTTGCAGTCTGATCTGCATGTATCAGAGCCTTTTTGCAAACTGTTCTCTGACTCTTACCTCTACCAGTAGCAGGAAAAGCAGGGAAAGGCAGGGAAAACCTGGCTTGTTGGAAGCAGGCATGCAGTTAGGCTGTTTTGCAAACTGTGGTCTGACTCTTACCTCAACCAATAGCAAGGAACAGCAGACTTGTTGGAAGTTTCACTATTTGATAATGTTAAGTCCAAAACAGCAGCCATGAATTTAACCCCAGGGCTGGGCGATATCCAGATTAAGATCTGTTCATTTACTCAGTAAATGAACGCTGCGTGGTTCCCAAGGATTGTCCTGGGTGGATGGGAGGAGAGGGCGCTATGACAAACATGACAGACACAATCTCTACCCTTTGGGAGCAACTGTCGATTGGAAAAAAAAAAAAAAAAAACGATGGAAAAGAATTAAACAGATGAATCTCAGTGACAAATTGGGGCCAAGGCTATGAAAGTGTTCAGCTGGGGAACAGTATGGAAGAGGGGCCCCACTTCAGGTAGAGGAGTTGGGGGAGGCCTCCCTGGGGAAAGCGTGTAAGTTGAGGATAGAAGTGAGGGTTCCAGCCACGCAAAGAGCAGGTGCTAGGACCCTTCCGAGGGGAGCTCTGGATGGAGTCCCCACCTCCTACTCTGCGTGAAAGGGACAGTCACAGTGTTGGGTTCAGTGTGTCACAAGCAGATGGAAAGCAGTGCTTTGAACTGGGACATTTTGGAGCCATGGGCCAAGGAGCAAGCCCTCTTGTAAGACCCTTTTCTTCCCCCCTTTACCACTGCGGGTCCTCTGTGTGTGGAGAAAACAAAGAGGGAAGGACGTCTGAGCTGAAGTGAGTGCTCCCTGAGCACCTCCGATCTAAAAGAAAACAGTTTTCCAATGGTCTGGGGCCTCATTTCAATATGGCAATCAGCACACGTTTGATTTAGAGGTTAATTACTGCTCCTTTAAAAACGCAATTTACTTGAGGCCCATTCTGTTCTCTTTGTGAAGCAGATTTCAGCTGTTGTTGAAATAAAAAGCTGTTCCAGGCAGACAAAGCCAGCATGACCTTTATGTTTATTCCCTTTTAGATGAACCTGGAGGCGACAACATGAAACTGTAAGTCTTCCCCGCTCCCTCCGCCCCGCTCGGCGTGGACAAGCACGTTGGGGAGGGGAGCAGATTAGAGGACCCACTGGTCCTTATGAGTTTTTGTTCCTTGTGGGGACTTCTTGCTTCCCGAGCCCCAGAAAACAGCCTGTCATGGTCTACAGCCTTTGGAAGGATGTCCCTGTCATCAAACCTCAACCTGGAAGGGGGTCTGGGCTGGTGACAGGGTCCTCTGTTCAGAAAAGAATCTTTTTCTGCCTCCTGCTGCCAATTCCAAACGCACCACGCTGGGTGGTTTTCAAAGATGTTGCTTCATTTATTTGGATAGACATTTTTATCACCAGGGAAGATATAGTTCAGCTGGTATTAAGGAGGGAGATCCCTGGTAGAAGGGGAATGGAGGGGAGAGGAAGACAAATTGGCGGGAGGGGGGAAGTAGAAGCTTTACCAGGGGAGGATGTTCTAGAACCATACCCACATCCTCCTCCGGCCCCCACCCCAACCACAGCAGCCTTACTCCTACATGGGGCCTGCTTCCTATTCAAGGTGTCATACCTTTGCAATGTTCAGAGTTGGTGACCGCCCTCCTCGTCCCCACCTCCATTCACCAGGGGCTTCTTTCTCCACACTGGGGGCTCCAAACCTCTAAGCCCTGGCAAGCAAGCGAGGGCAGTGGATTTCTCAAAGGAACTGCTCACTTTCTCCAAGACAGAAAAGCGTGGGAACTGAAGGGAGAGGCGATGCAAGCAATTCGTTGACTGTAGCCTCTTGACTCGGTTTGGTGATCAAAAACACCAAAAAAAAAGAGAAGTGAAATTAAGCAAGGTGAAAACGCTAAATGTGGCAACGCCGGGGAGGAGCCGCCCAGTGGAAGCCTTGTGTGCTCCGCTCTGTGCCTTCCCGGGGGTAGTCTCCGGTTCCCTTTCAACCCCTTCTCCTCCACCATCCCCCGCAACACACACACACACACACACACACACACACACACACACACACTGGGTTGTGCTGGGTTATGCGCCCTCCATTTTCGGACCAGTGGTAGGCCAAGATTGTTGTTCTTATTTTCTCCCCGTTAGAGTTTGGTACATTGGAGCAGGCCACACGCTGAGTCTACCCTGGAGTGTAAGACACTGAGTCAAATTTATCTCCTTCACGGCCAACATGCTAGACGCCCCCACAGACATTCAGCCCACCAAGCCTTTCTTTCTTTCAACAAGCTTTTTGCTCTCTTTCTAGCCCTATTTTTGAGGAAGACACGCCCTCTGTTATGGAAATAGAGATGGAAGAGCTTGATAAATGGATGAGCATGCATAGAAATGGTACGTGGTAACCTTGTTTTTTTCTGTCCTATCTACTCACAGAAGGCTGCAGCAGCTCTGTAGATGCCCCATAAACCCTGGCGTGGAACGGTGTGGGCCCGGTCCACACACACTCTGGTGCACACAGATAGCACACTTGGGCCTGTCCGTCCTTAACTATTCAGTTTAATAATCGCATGATTGCCGCTTGTTTTTATTTTTGTCCACGGTTTTCAAATGATCTTTTTCAAGAAGAAAATGGTTTGTTTTTTTGTTTTTTTTCAAGCAAGGAAACTGGAGTCCAAATTATCTGGAAAAAGTTAGCTTGTGACATCACTTTATATTTAGAGATTTATGATTGTAATCTGTATCTGGTTTTAAACTTCATCAAATATATATAGTTGACAGATCGGTGCTGTCCAATACAATAGACATTAGCCATATGTGGCTATTGAGCTTAAAATTTTAAAAATAAAATTTTAAATACTGTTCCTCAGTCACTCTAGTGAAAATCTAGAACATTCCTATCACTATAAAGAAAGCTATTGGACAGCACTAACATGAACAGTGATATAAATATTCCAATTTAACCTAATTTCCAATTGATATCTGGCAGTAAGTGCAGTATATGTTTTTAGTTTTCACTAAATATTTGGACTTAAAAATAACACTAGCCGTTTTTTCTAATTTCTTTAAAAATCAATAAATTATTTTTAATGCTCAGCTTAAATTAATAAAATCCACTATTGTTATTGTTATATCATTTGTATTTTTAACACTTATCATAAAAAAATACCCCGGGGACTATCAGATTCAACAATCTACAATGGAGTTTATATAATTTAAAGATTTTTATTAGAATTATTGCACCAGAGGCTTATCAAGACCAGTTTTCCAAAAGCTTAGAACCACTTAACTAACTAGCATAATTTTGAAGTTTTTGGTAATCCAATATTGAGGACTGAATGTCTCTGGAAAGTATGTGAGGAAAGGAAACAATCCTTAAATTAGATTCACTTCTTGTTTTTAGTTTATAAAAGTAAAATACATACACCTTAGAATTTAGACAGTAAAAAAAAGAATGAAAAATAATTTCACCACTCAAAGACAGCCTTTCTTAAAATGTTGGTGTATTCCTTTTGTTCCTGAGATCATTTAAATACAAAACCATGATCCTGGTTCACTCACTAAAAGCATAAAAGGGGGAAAAGACATTTCTATTCGACACTAAAGCCGTTATTTTGACACACAGGTGATAGACTCAATAGTTCTCTATTTCCCTTAAAAAATGGTAGTGGTGTCATAGAAGTCTTGATGACTTTAAGGTTAGTTGCTCCCCACGTCACCTGCTTCTTTCTGATGGTGCATCCTGATTGGAGTCATTCTCCAGGCACATCAGGGCCTCAGGTGAAGCCCTTTTATTCCAGCGAGCATTCTGAATAGTGCAGATTTGGGCTTTTGTAGCCACAGTGGGGTTCTGCAGGGGCTGAATGACCAAGCCACCATTATCTGTGCCCTTTCCAACAGGGCTAGACGCACACTGAAGTCTTGCATCTGTGCGTTAGTGCTTTGTCCGTTTCAAGAGCCTTGCCACCATTAATCCCCAGACCTCTGCAACTCCCTGGCGAGGCCATTTCTGCACATGCAGGCTGGGGAAATGTGATGTTTAACTGTGTGAGTTTTATGGATAGAAAATAGAATTTCAGTGACTAACAATGCGTTTGCTTTCATTCTGTCCTAGCCGACAGTGAATGTTTACCTACTTTAAAAGAAGAAAAGGAATCAAACCACAGCCCAAGGTACTTCTAATTCCTGCCATAGATTCCATGTGCATCCAGGAGGGAACAGAGACCCCTGCAGAGCACTTTTGCTCACCTTCTCCCTGCCTGTACATTTATGTGACATTTTCCATGGCTGCATATATGTGTAGTGTGGAGAAAAGGAAGTGTGAATTTTGGAAAACAGAAAGGTACAAAGTAAATAGTTACTCTTTATCTTTAGAAATAATTTAGTATTGACATTTTCTTGCCCTTCTAAAGAGACACTGACTTATAAGTCTGCTTCTGTTTCAGTTATAAAAACTTTTTTCATTATAACAAACTGTAGGTGTGTTTATCTTGGATGAGTAGATGTTTGATAAGGAAAATAGAGGTGATGGTCTCAAAGGGGGTAGCTGAAAACAGGAGTAAAATGAACAGGAAAGAAAGGAGGGAGATAAAAAAAAGGAGGGAGAAAAGAAGGAAGAGAGGGAACCCTATCTGAATGGGATTATTATAGGAGAGAAATTAAAGGCGAATTAAAAAAAAAACAACATTTCATTCTACCACTAGGTGGCTCTGCTTGATAGAAAATTTTAGTGCATGCGGCTTGGGTGTCTCAGCATTACACAATCTCATTTAAATTATATTATCTTTTGGATAGAGGATAGAAATTACCATGTTTGAGATGTTTTGATAAGAAAATTGTCTGGTCAGGACGTGGGAAGTGCTTGCAGGAAACAGGATTGACTGTTCGCCGGGCAGGGACGGCTGCACAGGGCACTGCTGTGATTTGGCAGGCACCGAACTGTTGACAGAGGTGACTCGAGATGACCAGCGAGCAGAGAACCTGACTGAGCCCATGACTGAGACATTACACTTCTGTCGGAATAAGCGGAATAAAAGTTCAGAGCAGGATAAATAGCACCCACCTTTGCTCCCTCCGTGCTGACCAGAGGTCGTGTGCCAATCATCTTCAGAGTGCAGCCACTTACCATTGGGGCCCTCCTCGGTCAGGGCACTACAGGAAAAGACCATTATTGGAGCAATCAGATGTTTGTCTTTTGGACCCTTATTCTGCGCCTTCCCCTAAACCTTACCGAAGAAGTCATATTCTATAGTAGGGGTGTCGAACTCAATCAGAGAAGGGGCCAAAATCTAAAATCCAGCCTAAATTGCGGTTTACTGAACAGTCATAAACTGTCATTGTGATGGAAACGCAGCGGAGTGCAGTGATAACAGTGCGGTGCAGGCCACATTGCAAGGCCTGGCGGGACGGATTTGGCCCGCGGGCCTTGTGTTTGACACATGTGTTCTATAGTATCTTTCCCCTCATCAAACCTCCACAATCCTCTGCTCTGATACAGAAGTCTGTAAATCTTATCACAGATGTGACCTGTTGTTACCTCACCAGGTATTGCTGCTTCAGAAAAGATTCTGTCTTATCTAAACGAGACACCAGATATTAATAAACAGATAAAAGAAAAAAAAATGCTAGGGCGAGTTCCCAAAGGCCATTACAAAGGAGTATTTCCCCTGCATTTTTATCTTACCTAAAAGTGAACCACTAGGTATGTCCAGTATAGGGCTCAAGTCATCACTAAAACTCTATAAATATCTAAGTATTGTATCTCTGATGGGATTCTGTCAAATGATGTAAAATGCCAGTGGTTTCATTTGCCTCTCTCTCTCTCTCTCTCTCTCTCTCTCTCTATTATTGACAGCATTGAAAAAGCTTAACATTAGAGCCTTGTATGATGGAGAAAGTTTAGAAACCATATTTTCTAAATATTGAGAGGTTGTTCTTAGAAATAAGTTCTAGCCCATTTCTACGTTTAAGGCAAAACTCCCTAACTTATTTGGAGATCTGCTTTATGCTAAATTATTGTCTTTTAAAAAACATATAGTTTGATTGATTTCAGAGAGAAGGGAGAGGGAGAGAGACAGAATCATTGATTGGCTGCCTCCTAAACACCCCACACTGAGGATTGAGCCCACAACCCAGCATGTTCCCTTGACTGGAATGGAACCCCAGACCCTTTAGTCCACAGGCTGACACTCTATCCACTGAGCAAACTAGCTAGAGCTAAATTATTGTCTTTAAAGGGAACAATTACCTTCTTCTGGTGGCCCAGAACCCTCTGGTTGTGATTCACAGAATGACTGTCAGGCCTTCATTCATTCCTCTATATGAAGCCAGCACCAGAGTTATAAAACCAGAGTGGCAAGTCCCACATCTGGTGCCATCGGCACTTTCCGGTTACTTCAAAGGGTGTTACAATATTGCAAAGCAAATGTATTTTTTATTCAGTAAAAACTAAGAAAAGACATAATGCTTAAAACAAAGCCTGGCATAAAATAAGCTCTCAATAAGTATTGGTTATTATTATTAACACATTAAAATTGAGGTACATAGACTCATGTCTTTTGGACTGAGTGGCTGTGTCCTGAGGCCCAGGCACATCTAGTGTTGGGTGGGCATTATTTTTGCACCTGGTTTTCCAGGTGACTTCTCTTTGAATCTCACTGATCTGAGAAATCAGGAAATTGTTTGATCTTCTAGGAATGACCTGGAGACGTTTGATTCCTCTCCATTATCAGCATTGGCCCATTCATGTTGGTAATTTCAGTACAGCCCTCTTAGCAGCCTGGAGCTTTTCAAAGGATATGCATATAGTTTGGATACTTTCATAGTTTAGATTATTTATACTTTTCATTGTGATTTCGTTTACATTTCTTTCTCCTGCTATTGTCTTAATTACACTGATAATCGGTGAAACTTACTTTCACTGGATTTGGTCACGACCTTGTACTTAATGCACCTCCTCTTGTTAGGCTCCATTATCTCAGGTGTTTCAGAACGTTGAATATCTGATCTAGGGAGAAATAAGATTTGTTCTTTTCTCTAGAAGCTGTGAATCCTAAGAGATACAGGTGGTGAGTGCATTGGTCATTGGACTTAGAATCAGAAGACTATTTTAAGACCTGACTTGTATGGTCTTTTGTTCCTTATGGGAAGACAAGTCACTTTAACTCACTGAGCTTCAGTTTCCTCATCTTGAAATCATGGCACCTGTTCTTCCATTTTCATGGGCTCATGAGAGAAAAAAACCAGCTTTGTAAGTCTTAAACTATCATGCAAATGAAAAGAATTCTTTTACACTCTGGCAACTGCTCCCCCTCCCCCAATTGGCTTTTTAAAATTTTTGTTTATTGATTAAGGTGCTACATACGTGTCCTTATTCCCCCATTACCCCCCTCCCAATTCTCTCCACTTATGTCCTCACCCCCCTGTTGTCTGTGACCACTGGTTAGGCTTATATGAATGCATACAAGTCCTTTGGTTGATCTCTCCCCCTTACCCCCACCCTCCCCTATCTTCCCTCTGAGGTTTGAGGGTCTGATCCATATTTCTCTCTCTCTGGATCTATTTTTGTTCATCAGTTTATGTTGTTCATTATATTCCACAAATGAGTGAGATCATGTGATATTTATCTTTCTCTGACTGGCTTATTTCACTTAGCATAATGCTCTCCAGTTCCATCCATGCTGTTGCAAATGGTAAGAACTCCTTCCTTTTTACCACAGTGTAGTAGTCCATTGCCAACTGGCTTTTTAAAAGACTATATTTTAGAGCAGTTTTAGGTTCACAGCAAAGTGGAGCAGGAAGCACAGAGATTTCCCATATATTCCCTGCCCCCCACACAGGCACAGACTCCCCCTCCAGTGAGATTCCCCCACCAGACAATCAGTTAACCTACTTTGACACATCATCACCCCCCAAATTCCCCATTGGCTTTTACCAACACGAGTCACCTTTCCTCTACCATTTAAGCAGTTACAGGTGACTCTGATGCTTCAGAAAGTATATCGTAGTCACTGAGGCTTGATCTCAATGGAAAACACACTTCCCCATCTCCTGCTAATAAAGACTTCCAGAGTCTGTTTACAGAGTTCAGCCCTTCTTGATGCTGGAAAGCCAGCCTGACACAGAAGCTCTGTTATGTATTGTCTTTTGTGCTTTTGGGGAAGGGGAGTTCATCTGGTCCCCATCCTAAGCCTAATGCTTCACCTTGTGTGCGGAAACTTCAACCCTTCAAGCTTCTCTTGTTAGGGTTTGTACTCTCAGGTCTTTTTGAACTTTCCCCACATATCCCATTGGCCAGCCCTGTCCGCACTGCAGGGACCTTTTCCCCTGGGCTGTGGAATTTAAACGTTTGCATAGGATTTAAATAAGGGCCAGAGATGTACAAAGCATATGGGGAATTTATATTATGGTTTTCATGTTTCTAAAAATTTCAGTAGGAAAAGAGAAAGGAATTATAGGGGAGGCGGAGTTCTAGATTATTGTTTCTCACATTATTACCTTCTCCTGCAAATCATACATGTTATGTGCCAGGCATTGTCTTAGGCATTGGGAACCGTGTCAGTGGAATAGTGTCCAAGGGGTGGGGCCGGGCGGTGGGAGAGGTCTGCCTTAGAGCGGGAGAGATTTCATCACTGACATTGTTAAGCATTGCCAGCTCATGGTGATAACGAAGGACAAACCCACTGAGTTGGTTTCATGGTTGTTTAAATGTTCTAAAGAATGTACTCTCTCATTGTCTACCCTACCCTCATAACACCTTCCTGAGTGCCACTGGATAGTGATAAAAGCAAGAAAGGCAGAGTCCTTTTTATTACGGTGCTTACAGGCTAGCCAGCCTCTTCCTTCTTCCAGAGGCCTTTATATTTAGGCAATTTCCTGAAAGCTTGGTATTTTTATCTCTGCAAGTTTAGGTGAACAATTGTAGAAAAGAAATAGCAAATATTAGCCAAGTGCCCATCTTCTTTCCCTGGATGCTTATTGGCCACAGTAACATCATGGGAAAAGATTAGGGGGGAAATTAGATTAGGTACCCTCCAAGTGGACTTATAATTTTGTTAAGTACAATAATAATAATAAGACATTTGTAAAGATAGCATTTTTTTTATATATCCAATGCTTAGGTATTTGTTTGTTTTTTATTGTTGTTGTTTTTTGTTAAACCTCACCCAAGGAT